AGTTTTTCAGCTTTGCTTCGTAAAACCACATCTTATTTTCGTGCGATTTCTTCAAAAGTATTGACCATGACTGGTCTATTCATTTAATTTCTTTATTGCTAAGTTTTTTAGAGAGGGAGTAATATATCAATTAAATTGCTTAATTTCTTCAGAAGAGTTGTTGGTTTTAATTGAATATGTGCCTTGTGGGGATCTGCTGGGTTACCTGAGAAAGAGCCGTGGATTAAAAGACACTTACTACAAAGATCCGGATATCAAACCACAAACAAATCTGACGTCACAGCAGCTGATGAGGTTTGCTTGGCAAATTGCTGATGGAATGAGTTACTTGACCTCAAAATCTGTAAGTCAATTGAAAAAGAAACAAAAGGCAAACAACTCTAACGCCTACTTGTAAGGTGTATCGTCATGTTAAGCTTTGTCTTGCATAGATTGTTATGTCTTTACAAGATCACGCGCGGGAGATGCAAACGTGTTCTTACCGTCTTGATGACATTTTTTTTTGTTATGACCGGGAACCCTCACAACTTTGATTTCATCATCTAAGTTTTATTTCAATATGCGAATGGTGATGTTTGTGAATCGTTGCAAGTGCACCCCATCGAAATAGAATATCTGGGTTTTTCTCGTGTACGCGAAGGAAGAGACGTGAATGAATAAAATCTATTGAGATATTGAGCCTACTGAACTGAGTGTACAACAAATATCCATTTAGTGACAAGGACGAGAAGAAATTAAAACTTGAAATTTATAAATTCGTCTTTGGTTGCTAAACTGCTACATTACAGAATCCTATTTCGATTAAAATCTTAAGATAAGCGTTCTATGAAATAACTACGTATTGCACAAATAAAGTAGTTTGCTTCTCTCTGGAAAATGAGACAGTAATAACAGTGAATTTAATTTTCTTTCATCTGGAAGAAAGAGAAATACGCACACACTATTATGTTGTTTGACATTTCAAATTTCTTAAGTGAACCAATTCATTTTAGTTCTTTTTCTTCTGCAGCCGCTAATTCTTGCTGTTGCATCAATTCTTTCTTAGATCATTCACCGAGACCTTGCAGCCCGCAATATTTTGGTTGGACAAAAGGAAACGTGTAAAGTGACAAACTTCGGAATGGCCAGAGATGTGCAGCAGGAAAATATTTATGAACGAAAGACTAAGGTAATCAAGAACAATGGGGGTGGGGGCAGTAATTCATATCGCTCAGTTTTGTGATCTTTCACAATCATTGTTGTGTTAAAGCTGATATGTTCCTGATTTTGATCATGAATTCCTTGGGTGGGACCCTAATGAAAATATTAGCTGTGCATATACGAGTACAACTTTAAAAATCACTCTCTTGGACTAGTCGTTACCTATAATTTTTGAGCTGTTTCACTAGGTGATATTTGAAATCTTTAGGGCCGTATTCCCGTGAAGTGGACAGCTTATGAGGCCTTGTTGTATGGTAAATATACCACCAAAAGTGACGTGTAAGTATAACTGACTATTACCAGTGGCAATTTTCCAACAGGGTTTATCAATGTTAATCAGGACATGAATTCTATGCTCTGTCAAAGAATACGTATATATATACGTATATATGTCTACAGACACTTAATTTATATTCGTTTGATTTGTCTTTCTGCAGATGGAGTTATGGAGTTTTGTTGTACGAGATTTTCACCATAGGTAACATCGAATGGATGTCTTTTGTTATATACCATGTTTAATTTAATATTGTATCTTGCTGAGTTAGACAAACGCAATGAGGTTCCTCATGCAATCTCAAACTCCATCAAGTGACGCAGGTGGTGTTTCAGTGAAGGTCGTTTTTTTAGTACATTTATATTTTGATGGTCTTTTGGCTCTTTCAGGCGGTACACCTTACCCACGTATGGATGGAAGGAAAGTTGCAGACCTACTTCAGGATGGATACAGGATGCCTAAACCACAACATCTGGATGAAAACTTGTAAGTTTTATTTTTATACTCGTTCTCTCTCATCGTACAAGGAAACGTTCTTTAAATCTCAAACAGATCATTTGAACAATACCAGGTATGAGATCATGATGCAATGCTGGAAGAATGACCCACACGCAAGACCAACCTTCACTGAATTGAAAAATCAGCTCAAGGACATGGAAACCCAACACAAGGTGAGAATTTTGATCAACATTAAAATTTTGTTTTTCATGTAGGACCGACTGGCTTAGGCTCGGCTAATTAGGATTTAAACTAAACATCATTGAGCCTTGAAAGGGTAGTAGTAGGTACTCACCCTTGTAATTTTTACGAAGTTTGGATTGCATCTTTTTGTTATGTCACTGAAGCTAGCACTCCACGAAAAAACAGCGAAGAAGCGAACTACAATGTCTTAATGACAATTGACACTTGATGGTTATTTGAAAGATCATAAGATGATTGCATAATTGCATCGGGATGCACAAAGTGTGGCGGACGACGACGCTATAAATATTTTTTCCTTGAATTTGTTTTGGTGTCAAAAGCTGACCACTTGTGAGGATAACCGCTTATAACGTAAGAGGCACACTTTTTTAATGATGCTTGTTATTGCATTATTTTTCTCTGCAGAAACTGATCAACATGAGAATGTACGACAAGCAGTTGTCTGCAAACGTCGAGGATTTAATAGTGTAGTTTACGGTGTATGACTGGCTAACAGTTTGAACACTTCGCGACAACAAGTTTCAGGGATTAATCATGTTTGCCTTACACGCCTACTTACTCCAATTAGACTGGAACGTTTTAATCCAATTGATTTTATATTCTCAAACGCTGAAACGCTTTTAATACGTTTACCGATAAAGTATACTATAGTTTTCCCTTCCAGGTATTAAACACTTACACTTATGCTTGACACAAGCGTTTGTGTTCGGTTTATTTTCTGGCTCAATTCTGAAAGGCAGGACAGCGCGGAGAAAAATTCAATTTTCAATATTGACGAGATCTTGCTCTGAGTGCCATGGTTGTGTACAATTTGAGGAAATTGCCACTGAGTCGTCTTGGCTTTGAAAAAAAGTGAATTCACTCAAAATTATATGTAAATTGTTGTGAGGTTTTTGCTATGTGAGACATGGCTTTCTGACCAGAGGTCCAGGTCTGTTGATCATCAATAACACATACTTGTCAAACCGGGTGGTTTCTCCTTCCACTTCAGTTTCTGCTGAAACAACAGCTAGTTCTAACGGCGCAATATAAAAAGCGATGCAACCAAATGATGTCACAATAATTGGACCTCCCGCCAAACTCAAAAGATCAAACCCTAAGCAATTTCATTGAATTGGTTTGGGTGTAACCAAACCCTAACTCTAAGTTTTGATCTTGATTAGGAATTTTAAGAATATTTAAGTCGTGCTTTTGCAGCAGAGGAATCGATTAAAACTGAGAGGTCGGATACATGCGAGACTAAACAATCGAAAACAGCGGTTGCGAAGGAGAGTACAGTAACTGTGACAGCAATGCAGTTTTCTTTCCTTTCAATTATTCAAACACTAGTGACAATAGAGCATGCAATACCTGTGTCTGACTTTATTTCAGATATATTGAAGGATTTTTCCCTCTCCATTAAACGATAATTTCGTTGCAATCTTTTGAAAGTTAATCCTTTTTTTCTTTTACAAAAATACAAACATCAGTTACCTAGTGACCCATCCCAACCCACCCGACCCCAAAGGTAACTCTTGCGTGCGTGGTATGCCTAATAAAATGTCTGTGGTAGCTTTGTTTAGCAGCTCTCTAATGACATCAACATAACTACCGAGCTGGTGAGACTGACTATTACCGTTAATAACAATGGTAGAAATAACATCTCACTTACACGAGCTGTTATTTTTAGACAAGGTCACAATTATAAATAATATACTTTTCCAATAAAAGTGTCAAACTTACCTTGCGCTAAGCAATCATGTTTCAAGTACACACAAGATAATTTTGTCCGTGTCTCTAATACTCGCTCGACTATACTACCTTGTCGTACCCAACAGATGACGTCTGTTTACGCGCTCGCGGAGGAGGTGTTTTAAATAATTGGGAAGGGTACAAATCAGGTAAGATTCGATCAGTGGCTTGGGTACGAACTGACTCAAACTTGGGTACGAAACGACAGGGTGCGGAAAGACTGGATACCCCACCCATATCATAGATTAATTTTGGTAATTTCGTCATTTTTACTCAATAAGAATCTAAGCATGGTTAAACTTGTGAACGTGATCCAATAGTGTCCAAAATGTTTCTTTATATTAAGTGGCTTACAGTATGCGCGGATTGATGGTAGGAAAATTGCCAAAACTTACTTCAGCAGGGATCCAGAATGCCTTAACCACAAAATGTGGATGATAAATTGTAAGCACTAGAGTTTCTTTAATTTCAAAGTAATTAAAAAGCCTCAATCTATTGCATCTTTTTCTCCTTTAGTAATTGAATTCATTCCCCACTTTATGGAGATATTAATTGTTTAAAATTTGGAAGATATTTGCATATCCACATTCGAGAGAGTAATAAGTTAAACAGTTTTTGTGCTAACGATGAATTCATCATCAAAACAACTTACGTGTTTCGTTTCAATTTGATTCAATTTACTATACGTATATCAAGTATCAATCTGTGTTATATGAAACATTGATACAGCTGTATGACATAATGTTGAGATGCTGACAAGATGACCCGGGTACAAGACCAACGCTCCTCTTTGGTCTAAGAAACCAGCTCAAAGCAATGGCAACATTACACAGGGTAAAATTTTTACATTCAGTTATATCATGTGGGGTCATAAAATATGTCGAGTTATTCAAGATCAAAGTGATCGAAGTGATCATGATAAACTCGGCAACTAAGTGCCTTTGCTCTCCATCAAGTTGGTTAATCAGCCAACTAAGTACAACTGAAGACCTCCTTAGCTGCCAAGTGTTTGAGCATTTTAGATAAGGTCATGCAGAAATAAAGAATTCTTAATGGACATTAGAGAAATCTTCTTATACTTTTCTTTCGTCCCCAGAGGCTGATCAACATGAAAATCTACGACAAACAGTTGTGCGCAAATGTTGAGGATTTGGTAGAGAAGGCGATGACAATTTGTCAGCATTTCAGAAAGGAAATTATTCTCCCCTCTTCAGCTAACGTTCCGAAAAAATTAAGATCAAAAAGCGATGAATTCCAAAGCTAATATGGGTGAACTACTCACCCTGTAGCAGTTAGTTTTATTAATTTTGTGTTCCTTTCAATTCAGTTGTGATATAAACTAGGCGTTTACATGACCAAAACAAAACATAATAAACAAAAATCAAAATGAGAAAGCGATGAATTCCAAAGCTAATATGGGTGAACTACTCACCCTGTAGCAGTTAGTTTTATTAATTTTGTGTTCCTTTCAATTCAGTTGTGATATAAACTAGGCGTTTACATGACCAAAACAAAACATAATAAACAAAAATAAAAATGAGAAAAATTTGTCAAACTGACAGGTATTTTTACGCTGTCAAAGTTCCTTTGAAACTGTGAATAGGGCATGTAAATGTATTTGGAGGTGGTTATCTTTATTATCATAATCATCAATATCAATATGACTATTGTTATTATCATCAAAATCATTATTAACATTAGTATTTTTATTATTTTTATATTTGTAAGAATTACAATTTCCTCCATTGTGATGGGTTTAAGAAACTCCTATTTTCCACTAATTTCCACTAATTCACTTGCCAGGTTGTTATCGGACAGTTTGTTATCGGGCAGTTCAGCAAGCCACTCCCATTTAAAGTTGTAGTTTAAATAAACCAATCGCATTCAAAGTTGAAGTTTAAATCGACCAATCACAACCATTCAACAATTTACACCTCCTTTATCAGTCTTTTTAATGCAAATTTTCCCTTTCTTTCATAACTTGGAAATTCTTTTTTTTTCGGAATTTGTAACTTTTATGATTAATTACTCGCGATAAGCAAATCGAACTCCATGTGGTCTTCCGATTGTGTTATCACTCGTATGATTACAGACCGAATTGGTCTCCACTTAGTCCTATTACCGTTATTTTTCAAGATCATTGTCCAAATAAATACTCAGATTTTTCTAATTATCAAAATTTTTTAAACTCACATTTTCCTCTTACCATTCAGGTAGTTCAAATCCCGTACATACTTGAGTTTTTTTCAGGACGTATTTTCACTACGACTTAAATAGTGTTCGTAACTGCGAGGATCGCTTCCACATTCATAATAACAAACACTTGTATTAGCATCAAATTATTCGAATAACTAGGCCGTTTTGGATAGTAGCTTTAAAGAAAAACTCGATAACCAAATTTTCAGAGGATGCATAATGGTGACTATCACCGGCAAATACTAAACCAGTTCTATATTTGAAGCAGTTCTACATGAACAAAGCTTGTCACCAAGAAATCATTTCTATTTTCTTCTTTACTCCCAAACTTTCCAGTTTTAATCTTTGAAAAATTGCGTTGATCCATGAATGTTGCCTGCCATAAAGACCTTTTCTTCAAAATATTTCTTCCATAATTCAGGCCCTGATGAACCAATTTCGGTAGAGTACGAAGAGAAAAATAGCAAATTAATCGAACGTTTTCTGTTTCTCATATTTTAGCTATTGAAGTTCTATAGCGCTTTCCAATTTTTTAAAAAAAGAAAAAAAAAAGAAAATGTGAGTGTCTTTCAAAATCAAAATAAAGAGTAGATTTCATTTGCAATTTTTATGTAATGCCACAGTAGGAAGTTTTTAGATCTCCCTCCCCTCTTGGTGTTACAACAAATTCAGGGTCAGCAGTTTATTTGCCGATTAGGCTTCAGTCCCCGCGCCCGTATGTATATATTTAAATTCTCACGCGAAAAGAACAGTACGTTATTCAGTATTAGCCCTTCGTCAGAGCGATCGGAGGAATTGTGGGTTGTGTGTGGGTTTATACGCAGAAAGTGGAGCTGCGCCATTGTCGTTCAAGCGGGCCACCACCATGCCCAACAAATTGATCGACAGTCAGCACTACAAACAGCTGAGAAGGAAAACACTGACCGCATTCCATTTACTCTTACATTTCACCCTCACAACCACGCAGTTTAATCTATCATTCTTAAAAATTTTAAATTTCTCCAAAACGATTCAGAGACTGGCACTATCTTTTCGCAACCCCCACTTATTTCATTCCAACGTGACAAAAACACAGGCAACTTTTTAGTCAGGAGTTCATTTCTAACCAATGACCAATCTGGAACTTTTAAATGAGCTCGCTCACGATGCAAAACTTGTCCTTAGCTTTCATTCATAACGTAGAGAGATCCATTAAGATCACTGATCACTTTACGTGTACCTCCGCCAATGTTATTTACTGCATAACTTGCACTTATTACAATAAGTTATACATCGGCGAAACAGGAAGACGACTAGGTGACCGATTCCGAGAACACCTTCGCGACGTGGAAAGAAATGACAAGGACGCATCCAAACCAGTCGCTAGACACTTTAATCTTCCTAATCATTCTAAACAGCATATGGCAGTTTGCGGCCTTTCCTTACATCTAGGCAGTTCGGAAAGCCGTAAAACACTAAAAATTTATTTTCCTAATCGGCACCCTTAATCCCCACGGAATCAACGAGCGCTTTTCATTCAACTAATTTATTCCTGTTTTCTCGTCACCATATTCTCACCAATGGCGTAGCTCCACTTTCTGAATATAAACCCACACACAACCCACAATTCCTCCAGTCGCTCTGACGAAGGGCTAACGCTCGAAACGTCAGTTTTTTTACCCTTTACGTTGGCTAATTTACGTTTTCAACTCAGTTGTTAACACTAAATTGCCAGCTATACTCTCCTACCGACGCAGCACCACAGTTTCTTTAGAAACTTACCCCTTTATCGTTATTCAGTTTGTTGTCTTTTCATCGTTTCTTTGTGGCATTTCGTGTAGTCCCTTTATCCAAACCGTCAGGTACGTTTTGCGTTGTCTTTTGCCGTTTGATGTTTAGCTTTGTAATCGTAGTTATTGTTTTCGGTAGTTGGTTGAAGTGTGATTTAGTTATTCATGTTTTTGAAACTACTGGTTTAGAATAAATTGTATGGTATGAGTAACTGTCTGGAAATTTACCCGTGCGTTCGCTACACTTGGTCTCCCCATGACCCCTACTCCCCTGCATCCCTCCACTTAACATTCCCTCTCGTAACCAGAGTTCATCTGAGGCGCCCCTCTGACTTAAGACTTACCTTTGCCAACACCGTAGCTGTAATACACAACAAAACTAGTTGTTGTTTCCACTTCGTGTTCGTGCAGTAGCTTCTCGGCTGATTCTATATCGGGCACAAAACTTAGAGTCTCAGAGATGTTTTTAGATGACATGGTTCGAAGATTCACAAAGAAGCTGATATCAAGATAAAGAGAATCTTGAGGAAAATTTCCCCCTAAAAAATTGATTCGATTTGATTTTCCCGCACTTTTTGCTAT